AAAAACTCAGTTCTAGGCTAGTTTTTGCAACTTGAAACGCGTGAAAAAATTTTAAAAAATTTTCCAGGGCTTCAACTGGCAAATCCAAAAAGACAGCACTTTCTGTCAATTTTGGCGATTTTTCCCGAAAACTTCCCAAACTCGTTTTCAATGCTGATTTTCGGACATTTGCTCCGCACCCCATGCATAAAAATAATTGCAATTTTGTTCAAGCCCTAAGCGGGCGCACATTTTTCAAAGAAGGCAGTTTGTTGCCAAATCTCCCCAGTTTTCCGGCAAACTACGAAAACCGGTTTTCCAGGAGCAATCTTTCAACTAACGAATGAAAGAAAACCAGTGAAATTTTGCGCCGAGCCTCAACAAGTGCACGCTTTTCACTCCTGTTCCAAAAAGCGCACAAAAAAACGTATTTAGTTTGGCCTGTTTTGCGAATTTCCCTAAAAAATGCCAAAAATCAAGTTCCGCGCAGCTTTGGCGAAACGGCAGCGCTGGCGGTTGTTCCCCGGCAAGCTGGCGCCAGTGGCGCCATCTGTGATCAACTTAGTCTAATAACTGTCATTTTGCGTTGTTCCAGGCCCGTATCAGCCTATGCGCTCTTCTTCCGCGACACTCAAGCGGCCATCAAGGGCCAGAACCCGAACGCCAGCTTTGGCGAAGTTTCGAAAATTGTCGCCGCCATGTGGGACGCGCTGGACTCCGAACATAAAAATGCAAGTTTCCGTCTTTGTCCCACGCGCTTGCAACTGAATTAACCTTTTTTTTCTTCTTCTTCTTCTTCTCCCCCAATTCTTCCTCCTGTTAGGTGTACAAGAAGAAAACCGAGGCGGCCAAAAAGGAGTATCTGAAGGCGTTGGCGGCCTACAGGGCCAGTCTGGTGTCGAAAGGGGCGGGCGACGGCGACGGCGGCCCCCTCTATGGAAACTACGGCAACTATGCAGCCGGCCCGCCCGGTGGCTCCCCCTATGGCGGCTACCAGCCCCAAGTGAGTGGCAAAAGCGGGGTTTATTGACTGATTTTTTTTTGTTTTTTTTTTGGGGTTTTTAGGGCGCCATTCCGTCGCCCCCGATCTCGTCGGGCGGCCACACCCCGCCCTCGCAGTCCCCGATCAATAAGAAGCCGCCTTCGATGATGGGCGGCATGGGCGGGGCCTCGCCCGCCCATCCGGGCATGATGCCGTCGCCCATGGGCGGCCACATGACGATGCAGCAGCACATGCAGCAGCAACAGCAGCAGCACAGTAGTTATATGCAACAGGTAGGGGAGCTGGGGGTTTTTTGCGGGCAGCGGCAACGCCGCCTGCCCAACTAGGAGCGGCTAATTGACAAGCGTCTAGGTATACCTGTCACTTCTATCGATTGCGCCGATTCGAACCAATCAAATATCGATTTGTATCGTTATCGAACGTATCGTTGACAAGTTCGACAAATCAGTTAAGACGATTTAAGGTTAGGTGGTTTTGTTTATTGTTTGATGATGATTATTTTATAATTTGTCGAGATAAACAGGCGCGAGTCCGCCAATCATGCATTTCGAACCTTATATAAGCTCTAGATAAAAATGACAAACAAATAGTATCGTACAGAAATTCATAGGTAAATTTTATACGCTCTTGGCTAGTAATTTTTAATTTTTTAAGAGGGATTGTTTGAATTTTCTGAAACAAAAATAATAGCATTGCCTTTATATTAGCACAAAGAAAGACAGTGATAATTATGAGTATTTCTTAATTTATAACAATTTCCAAATTATTTATTCTGAACAACTTAAATGGGTATGAGATTTTGTATTCGTCGTATTTAATTAAGCAACTTAAACCATTAAATAAACCTCCTGAAAAGTTTGGTTTATTGCATTTTGACAGTATATTGAGTATTCTTACATACATCGATACATTTGTATGGATAGTTTTCAAATTACTAAATACATTCCATAGATTTATTTGTCGGTAAAACTTATAATAAACATCACCCAAGTGGCAATAGTATTCTTTTGCTCAATATTTCTTGACTCTTACAATAGTAATTTTATATTTTCTGTTACTTTAAAATTAAAAAATCGTTGATAATCGTTTTTAATTAAATTGGCACATTGCACATAGGAAAATAACTTAAGCCAACTATCTGTTTGCTCAATAATACATTTTTATTATTAAAACGCCCCATTTGGTGTACATAATATATAGAGTAACGTTAAAAAACGCATCGTTAAGTTCTTCTGAATCAAACTTTATAAGTCCAATAATTTTATCAATATTAATTAAGTTAACACAGTCAAAGTCCAACAATAGATTAATAAAATCCAAAGAGTTTACGGTTACAACAAAATACCGGGAAAAAATCACCTAACCTTACACAGTCTTAAATCATAAGAAACCGCTGGCTATACCTAGACGCTTGTCGGCTAATTGTAGCCCCCTTGGGGTACATTGTTGCCAGATTTCAGCTGATTGGAGGCGTTATTGTATATATTATATAAAAGAAATTCTAAATTTCAATAATTATCCAAATTCTTTTATTGAAAAATGTTTTAACGAAATAGAATTCCCACGAACAAAACAAAATCAATCGCTTCTCTAACCTAAGTTCACCTGCTTTGGTTGCAGCAGCAGCAGCAGCAGGCGCAGCAGCAGGCGCAGCAGCAGCAGCAACAACAGCACATGCCGCTCAGCCCCCATCAAGTGCCGGTGTCCCCCCACAATGCGCACATGCAGCAACAGCAGCCCCAACAGCACATGAGCCCCCCACCAATGGGGGGATCGAGCTCCCCGCCCGTTTCACAGGTTAGTGGGTTTCGGCACAGGCGCTGCGCGCCCCAAATTTCCCCCGGTTCGCGCGGCGCCATCTGTTGTCCAGCACCGGCCCCCCCC